TTAGTTTATAATTTGTACACTTTAAAATGTAATAATATTGTAGTAATGCCTTGGGTGTTGAATAAATAAATAAATAAATAACTCATTGACAAAAATCACACATATTCAACCAAATTTCGAGAATAACATTGTATTTGCTTATTCTGATAAAAAATAAAAATTTTACAAAAAAAATAAGATATATTTTATAAAATAAGTTTATACATAATAATTATAGATTTATTAAACTTTGATCTCAAATAACTCTTAAGGCAATAGGTTTAATGAAAAATTATAAGAAACCCTTTTTGCATCAAATTTTCAATAAAACATTACACGAATTGATACTTTTGATTCATTTGTAGCTGGAGTTATAAAATTCTCATAACAAACTTTGGTTGAAGTGCGGACTATCTTAAAGTAAATATTAGGAACTAAAACTTTCAGAAAGTTTTCTTATATCAATTTGGAAGCATATTAGCATCTGGAAGCAAAGAAATTTAAATGCATTAACACTTTAATAATTACAGACGTTTCGAGTCCTTGGAATGCCTCATCTTCAGTGTAATTTCAAAACAGTTAATTATATACTAACACATCATTTAATATTTTATTTAAATTACATGTAATTTTTGAAAAGCAAAAAACAAATTTCTTGATTTTATTATGCAATCTCACACTCCATTTGTTTACATTATAATAATATCCATCCTGTCCATACATCTTCGTCACTTAAGATTTGTTTTCAAATATTTCTGTATATATTCACATGTTTAGTACTGTGTCAAGCATTGTAAGAGATAGTTGGTGTTTTTTGTTTTTCAAAAATTAAATGTAATTTAAATAAAATATTAAATAATATGTTAGTATATAATTAACACTGAAGATGGGGCATACCATGGTCTCGAAATGTCTGTAATTATTAAATATTGTTCTATATTGTTCATATTTAACATTTAGTATATGTTCCACTCATATCACAAAATTCTATATATATATATATATATATATATATATATATATATATATACATTAGATTACTAAATACTCAGATATTTTCAATCTAGAGTTCAATAATATCAAATCATAATCTTATAAAATAATATATATACATGCCTGCCCAATATGTATATATATATATATATATATATATATATATATATATAATATATAGATATTTTATTTTATCTTAAGATTTTTCTCGTCAAGTTCAAATTACCTGAAGATTTATATGCAACTTTTCACTTCTTAAAATACTGATAGTAATTAATATCATTTGATAAGTCAAGTCGTAAAAACTAAAAATCAAATCATTTTATTAAATGAGCTGTGTCGACATCGAGATGAATTTCAGCCCGCATATAAAATAATTGCAACAACACTTCATCCACAGGTCAATATCGCACAAATGTAATTTGCAAACACTTTTACGCTATAAACAGTTTGAATAATATCAAGTGGTTCAATATAAAAAAAAATGTACTGTACTGCCATTTAATATTAGACAATAAGTTAAAAGTTTGTCAATTTGAATGAAAGAAACGCCATCGCCCATTCGCACGACATATTGACTAGGACTAGGTTGTCTAGTAAACTACATTACTACCAACTAAATCCGTGGCACTGCCACTGCTGACAACGTGAGATCGCATAGCGCGGCGGCCCAAGCCCAAAATGCAATGGCGGACCGAGTAGTCGCGTTCGCCGGTAGATGGCACTGTATTTTACATGTCATGTCATTTACATGTCAACGGACGAAGATTAAATGACTAGTTTAAACTGTAACTGTCAATAAATATTGTTATGTGATTTTTGTTGAAGGAAAATGTTCCTTCTCTCCTTTTTTTGTTACACAATTATGGCATAATCCTAATATTCATTTATACCTTTTATTGTTTACAAAACCACGTATATGATGAGGGATACTATACTTACGGGTAAGTATCTGAACAATGTCAAAAATGTAATGTGAATATTTATATTTATTGAAATACTAGATGACCCGACAGACGTTGTCCTGTACCCATGTCTACAATTTTTTAATTTAATATACTAATATTTATAATATGAGCGATGTTAAATGTAGAACTGCTTTAAATTAAATGATGAGTCTCAATTCCCACACTATATTGAAAATTGAAGTCTTTTAAACGGTTTAGCATGACCATAACCATAACATTACACTGGTAATTCATGTTGGATTAAATTAATTTAATTTTTATTATTTAGGATATCCAAAATTGCATCTTAAACTTCTCCTAATCGATATCGTGAGGGCCGAATTATATGACTTCATCTTTACTTTCCCATTTGTTGTTATAAAGTGAAATTTTTTACGAAATATTGTATAAAGATGAGTGAAAGATGCAAAGAACTTATATATTGAAAAAAAAACTATATTAAAAATTTAATATCCAAATCTTGTGTTGGCGCCCCCTAAAGGCGTGCGCTCGTATTTTTCGCATGCATCGCATTAAAGGTAGGACCGGCCCTGATTAATACTTGTAATTTAATATGAACTTTATATAATAGCAATAAAGCTCAAATTGATTCTACGTTTTAGTTAGAAAACGTTTGTATGAGATAAAGAAAAGGGCTGTTCTTAGGGTTTTCCCGGCAATTATTCGATTTTTTCTCGCCGTAAGAACCATCCTTAAACATCAATAAACATTTTAAAAAAATAATTGGACAAATTGGTCCAGGCGTTGTTGAGTTATGCGCTTACCAACACATTTTGCGATTCTGTTTTATATATAAGATATGTTCGTTTTATCTATTTGTAACTGTCAACGATGAATGGCATCGTCCCAAGGCAAAATGCTGGTACTTCCCGTACCGAAAAAAATACAAAAAAACAATTTTTTGAAAAATTTTTAAGAAAAATTTTGAAACATTTGATTTTTTTTTGTATTTGGATTATTTTTGAAAATTTTGAACATTTTTTTAAAGCAATCACGCTGCGTAGCTGATTTAGAGTCGAAATATCAAAGCGCGTAAGCGCCGCGTAATCGTCTAACGTGTAAACATTGGTACGGAACGGATATAAAAATACACAAAATCTGTACTTATTATTATAATCCAATAAAATTTAGTATATTTAATCTTTATAAAATACCTTATAATACATATGTCTAGACGCTGGACCTGCGTTCACAAAAATTTCACCAGTTGTCCATTTAGCAATACAAAAAAAAAATGTAATACCATTTTTGGCACTTTTTGCCCCGTATCTCCGAAACGGCTGGATCTGCCTTTACCAAAAATTAATCAGCACGTTCCTCATCAGTAAGAATCGAATGTTTTTTTAATTATACAAATTGGATGATCCGTGTTCGTGAAATCGTCGACGAAAATTTGTATCCAAACACACAAACATACACGCGGTATGTCAAAATGTTCAGAAAGATGTTTCCGATTTTTGAAACGTAAAGATGTATACAAATTTTTATTTTTGTTTTTTTTTCGCTATTACTATAACTTATTCAAGTGTATATTAGAGCATATGTCATTTTGTAAAAAATCGACTTACGTCATTCGACTTAATCATATTAATTGAGATTTAGACATCATGATAAAATATACAACAGTTTCCGAATGATTCAGACATACTCGAACATGGGCCAGAGCGGGGCTTAAAAGTCCGCGGATAAAAAGCTCAACCACCGATATCTCAAAAACCAGTAAAGTTAAGAATTTTTTAATAACAATATTTGAAAGTAGAGACAAAAAGTTGTATGACCAGTCATCATCTTAATTCGTACGACCGCTTAAGACGTTGCTATCAGAAGATAAACGGCAATGTGTAAAAATCCATAATAAAAGTATCTTCATTCGTTGTAATGAAGCTTTTTTGTAATGTTTAAGTACAATTCTTTATTTAATTATTTTATAGAATGTATTGTTAATTTTAAGGTAGATTCAATAGTTTTTTTTCATATAACCTCTATAAAAGCTTACACCAGGGTGGTGAAAAATTGTGAATTTTTACCCTGGCAAAGTGGTAAAAAAAAAAAAATAGTAAATAAAAAAGTGAAAACAAACCATTTAACAAAAGATAAATTAAATAAATAGTTAATCCAACTCTGCTGATGAATATTTCTGACGAAAAACAAGATCAAGGTTATTTTCAGCAAAAAATGCAACCATGAAATTTATTGTTTGCATTGGTTGAAATAATTATCCATCATTTACAAAAATTTTTCAAAATTAAAATAAAACATTGGATCTGTTTACCCAATAATCATACTAATTTACCCCGGCATGTTTCAATTATTTTTTCTAGCCTCGAATGAACCTGTAGTTACCATGTAGTTTTTGCAAAATAAAAATGAAATTATCAAAATTTCTATCAAACACCTAATAATTGCTACAAAATTGATCGAAATCACTAGAACTTATTGATTTTACTAAAATAAGGTTCAAAAATACAACATATATGTCCCCAAAAAACATGACAATGCTATCCCCAAAATAAACTTTAGAAGTCGTGGTGCACGTTTTAACTGGTTTCTGCGACAAGACTGTGGCAATGACGATCAACGTCTGACAGGATTGTGATTATAGCTTTCTTTATGTGATACAGTCGCAAAAACGTTACCAAAACTAACCAATTTTAAAATAAGGATACTGTGTCATTTTGTCCATAAGTACTATTGATATTCAAATTGAGTCAAACCATATTGAAGACAAACGATAGTCCTCGTCGAGATACATCGAATGGCTTTTAAATCTTTGAAATCGGCCCAGCCGTTTTCGAGAAAACATCGATTTACGGCAAAAAATCTGTTCACATACACATACACACACATACTTTTTCCAAATTTGGTCTCGTTCGATTCAGAATGGCTTGAAAACATCGAGAAAACATAAAATTAGCGAATCGGATTTTTTGATGAAAACATAAACGTCTCCTTCGGAAAGTTAATAAGGATACTGTGTCATTTTGTCCATAGGTACTATTGATATTCAAATTAAGTCAAACCATTCGAAATCAAATTATAATATCTATTATTTCTAAATAAAACAATAATAATTCAGCGTAAAAAATTGATGTGCGTCTCTGAATTCCAATCGGTCCATTATAAAACTGTTTCAATATTCAACGGCATCGTTTAGCTAGTGAAAGAGTTCTTCAAGCTCACAAAAGCTGAAACCCCGAATTGAAGTCTGGTTCTACCTTGTGGCCCCAAGTACCGGTGTCGGCTGGAGTGTGGAGGTTGAAGGTGCTAGCACAGCACAATCGGCCATTAATGTCCGCGACGTCGACCAGCAAATAACGTTAATCGTCAGACGATCGATATAAAAAAAGTGAGAGCGAAGAAAGTGACGAAGTGAAATTAATGCAATCAACTAATTTTACATTTTACACACATATAGAAAAATTACGTAATATATTGAACTGTGTCTGAAAATTAGTAATTCAAAATGTTTTGGCTGTGTCTTTTCTTATATGCTAGTTGTATGGGATTATCTTTACCAATGAAAAATACAGGTGAGCACATTTTAATGATTATTTTACCTTTCGCGGAATGTGGTTTTTATGTAATCGGCAATATACGAAACGTGGTTTCAGCATCAGGATAATCATGCTATGAGCATTAACTGTTTCCATATTAATATTAATTAAAACTATTAATTACCAAATGGTAAGGATATTTAGTGATGTTTAAATACACTGATATACACTTATTTTTTACTCGGTTCACTTTTTTATGTCACCGACTGTCTGACTCTCCACATTACTCCCCCCGCATGGATCGAATATTGTTTAGCATCTCAAAAAATTATGGTAACAAAAAAACAGTAATTAAGCCTATATACCAAAAACAAAAAATTCTGCGGCCAATAATAGTCACAGCCGCCAATAATATAAGCACTTCTGTAAATGAAAATGCTATTTCAGGTTGAAAAGCCTAGAAAAGGTCATAAATATTGATATTGAATGTCTTGACAAAGTTATAAAATTAAGATTTATGCGTGGTAATTATTTTATGTGGTAAAATACCAAAAAAATTTAAATGTGACTTTAACGGAGCTCATAGAGGCTTAATTTTAGCAATATTTTGTTCCCTAACAGAAAATACAAAATTCAAAAGATCTAAAAGTTTATTATTTTATTTTTAATATTAATTTTTATATTTCATATTTATTTTTAATATTCATTTTCAGAAGATATTTGCTCAAGTATCTTCAGTAATTCATATTATGCAAGTAATTCGACTCAATTCGCAAACTTTAAGTAAGTCATCATCCCTTAAACTTATTTGTTCATAGTAAGTTCAGTCGAAAAGTTCGTAATCTTTTACTAATATTTATTTTTTAATGCAATGAGATGAAGGCGCTAAAAATTTAACTAAAACTTGACTAAAATTTTAAATATGTTTTATACTTCTTTCAATATGCCAAATGTAAAATTGGATGATGTATCTCGCCTAAAATTTCATTTTGAGATGGCAATTGTGACAAAATCGTCGTTATAGCCATTTCATTTAATCGTTAGCAATTTATATCGGTGTGTGATGCAATAAAAAATATTTGTTTGGTAAAAAAACGATCAAACTTTAATTGATAAAAATATATAGTGCACACATAGAAAGTCATTATCAAGGTTTTGCAATA